CTGGTATACAATACCTAAAACTACAGGAAAAAATAAGAAAACATTTTTTTAAATATGTTTTTATTGATTTTTTAGAGAGGAAGTGAGAGAGAGTATAGAAATATCAATGTGAGAGAGAAACATCGATCGGCTGCCTCCTGCATACCCCCTACTGGGGATCAAGCTCACAACCCAGGCATATGTCCAGAACGGGAATCAAACCAGGACCTCTCAGTTCCTGGGACGAAACTCAATCCACTGAGCCACACTGACCAGGCAAGAAAATATTTTTCAAGCATGACTAAATTGTCCATAAGAGAAGAGAAATTACAAAAGGTCAAAAACAATGAGAAAGTGCCAACACAGAGGGGCAAGCAAATGGTGGGGCCTGTTTCCCTGTTATCTACCACTCCCTATCACTCAAGAAAACCCTATTTTTATGAACCCTGAGCACAATGTTTAGGAGACAAAGCTGAGCACAAGAACGGTGAGAAGCTGGATCAGAGACCCACCTTGCCATATAAAGCCAAAGTCCCTAAAGGTCTACTCTCTTAATATGTCCATTAGGGAAAAAATCTGCCCAGCAGAAGGCAATGGTGGAGACACTTGCCTGTGAAGAGATTTTTGAAGTAGCTTCAGTACTGTGGTTACCTCGCTGGGTAACTTCACTTAGATTTTGCCTAATAACTCATTTCTGCTGAGAAAGGGGACAGCAGTCATCTATCTAGGCAGAAAACTGAAGGTTTATTTCCTGAGAATAAAACTCAGCCTCTGGACTGAAGAGTACAGTTGAGGAGAAGAGTACCTGAATGAAAATCATGGGAATGACATGACCATTCATATTCTGAATTTGGACACTCCCTTTAGGCTCCCAACATATTCGCAGCTCAACTTTACACCATTTGCACAAGAGGAAAGAAGACTCTTCTGAGGAAAGTGTTCCAAAAGGGGTACCCTACAGATACCGACTTCAGAGGCCTGCAGTCAAATGGCCCAATCAGATCAGGTTGACAAGCCCCAACCCTGCAACCAAAGCTGCCAATAAGCTTTTAATGCTCCGCTTAAATACAAGTGCATGACCAAGGATCATCATGAAGGAAGTCTCTAAGAGGAAGGAAGGAAATCCTTGCCAAATAAAACTAACGAAAAGGGAACTTAGACGAAACATATTATTCAAGAAGAAAATTTCAACAAAATATTATTAATAATCTCAAAGGAAAAAATAATATATCCTTGAAGCAAGAGAGAGAACAACAAAGAACCTTGGAAATAAAGAGGTTTATAGCAGAAAATCCAATAATTATTAAACTATTAAATTAAAAAAACATTAAGTATTGAATATCTTAGTGAAAATTGGTTAGACAAAAAGTAAAACAAGGTGAATGAATTAATAAACAGACATCCACACATGGGAATATTATTCACTACTAAAAAGATACAAGATATAAAGCCACAAAAAGAGACAGAAGAAACTTAAATGTATATTACTAAGTGAAAGAAGCCAATGTGGAAAAGTTATATGCTATATGATTTCAACTACATGACATTCTAGAAAAGCAACACTATGGTTAAAAAACAAAACAAAAAAAACAGTGGTTCCCAGGGGCAGAGGAGAGAGAAGGATGAGTAGGTAGAACACAGATGATTTTTAGAGCAGTGAAACTATTCTGTGTAATCCTATCACAGTGGTTACATGTCATTATCAATCAGTCAAAACCACCCTGGCCGGTTTGGCTCAGCGGTTAGAGCGTCGGCCTGTGGTCCAGAGAGACCCGGGTTCGGTTCCCGCTAAGGGCATGTACCTCGGTTGCAGTTTGTCCCCGGCCCTGGTTGGTCGTGTGCGATGTGTCTCTTTCACATCGATGTTTCTCTCTCTCTCTCTCTCTATTCCTCTCTCTCCCTCCCACTCTACCTGAATGGAAAAATGTCCTTGGGTGAGGATAAAAAAAAATCTGTCAAAACCTATAGAATGTACAATACCAAGAGTGTTTAGGGATAAAGACTCAAGTCTGCTACTTATTATCAAAGGGTTCATACAGAGTGGTAATAACAACATGTATATACATACATATATATAATTTATATACACATACAAAAATATAAAAAGAATATTATTGCAAATGTAGCAAGATGTTAATAATTGGTGAAATCTAAGTAAAAAGCATACAGCAGTTTAGTGTACTATTCTTGTAACTTTTCTGGAAATGTAATATAGTTTTCAAAATAAAATGTTGAAAAAGTGCTGCTTCCATTTTTAACAAACTTATGTAAAATTGATTGTTAACAATGACTGTGAATAAAAACAAGGAACAAATTGGACATGTAAACACCACCATTACCACTCCTTTAGCTACCTGGGCCCTTTAGCATTTTCCCCAACTCTCTCCCAGTCTCCTACCACAGGGCCTCGGCACATGCTGTTCCTCCATCCTCTATTTGCCCCTCACTCCTTCGGCTAGTTATACCCTCTCCTTCCTTTAGGGTCCAATGTGATCTGATCTGGTCAGATGCCTGGTCTCCTAGCATCATATACCTCTTCTTCTCACAGCTATAAATTTGCATTTATTTGTTTTATTTTCTACTTAATATTGGCCTCACCTAGTAGGCAATATGCTTCAGCAAGGCAGGAGCTATGTCTGGTTTTGCTCACCATTTTAACCCAAACGTTTATCACAATGGCTGGTGGCACACAGTGGAAGGAAGAAAGGAGGAAAGGAAGGGAGGAAGGGAGCAAAGAAGGGAGGAAGGAGGGAAGGAAGGAAGGAAGGAAGGAAGGAAGGAAGGAAGGAAGGAAGGAAGGAAGGAAGGAAGGAAGGAAGGAGTGAATTTGTAGAAGGCAGGAAGAGGAAGAAGTTAACATTTATAAAACAGCAGTAATTGGCTTCCTTGCTGTTCCTTGAACATGCCAGGCATATTCCCTCCTCAGGGCCATTGCATCTGCTGTTCCCTTTGCCTGGTAGTCTCTTCCCACCTAAATCCTCCTCCTTCCACTCATTCAAATCTTTGCTCAAATGGCAACTTTTAAATGAGGACTTTTTTGACCAACCCTATTTCAAATTTCAAGAACTCTTTCATTCCAAAGTCCATACTCTTTACTTGGATTTCTGTTTTGTTCTTCCCTGTAGCACTTATTATAACTAAAAGCACTAAATATTTATTAGAGTATTATCTATCTCTCCTGACTAGAAGATTAATTCTATATAGCAGGGATTTCCTTCAGTACCATATTCCCAATGCTTGGAATGATGTCTAGCACATAGTAAAAACTTAATATTTGTTGAAAGAATGACTACATAAGAGAATTTTGTCAAAATATTTTTATTTTCAAAACTTATCCTAATGTGCATTGTTTTAAATATGCAAAACTGGCACATATCCATGCAGAAGAAAGACTATCTCTTACTTTAAGATCATACAATTCTTAATTTGTAGGTGTTAAAATAGTCTTCCTTTTCCAAAATGATGGTTCTAGTAATTATCTTTTCTCAACAGTCTTATTTTGCCAACATGAGAAATGTTCCAATCTGTCAATGTCTAATTTTTTTGGAAATCTTACTGGTATATGAACTCTAAAACTCTAGGAACTACTGACAAACAGGAGTAAAATAATTCATTAGAATGTCATTTCACCATCTAGCCCAACAGATCCATGGAAACCAACTCCATCCTTCAAAAATCTTCTCTAGTCCAGACAGTCTCCTTAACATTTTCAAACCATCATGATTTGATTCCCCCTGGATGGTTCTTCTGAACTTTCCCCTTCCTTCATCCCTTCTTTAAACCCTTCCCATCCAAATATGTCCATTCCTTTAAGGATACTACCTAAAATTATGTACCACTCTGGTCTACATTCATCCATCTCTCATCTGAACACCTCTACCCCTCTAAGTAGAGCTCACTTTAAACAGTGGTTTGGGCCCTGGCCGGTTTGGCTCAGCGGTTAGAGCGTCGGACTGCGGTCCGGAGAGACCCGGGTTCGGTTCCCGCTAAGGGCATGTACCTTGGTTGCAGTTTGTCCCCGGCCCTGGTTGGGTCGTGTGGGTGGCAACCACTCGATGTGTCGCTTTCACGTCGATGTTTCTCTCTCTCTCTCTCCCTCTCACTCTATCTGAACAAAATATCGAAAAATGTCCTCGGATGAGGATAAAAAAAATAAAAATAAAAATAAAAAAAATAAACAGTGGTTTGGCCCAAGCCAAATACATAAGAATCACTTCGGGAAGATTAAAAAAAAAAAAAAAATGACAGCCTGGCCAGTATCGCTCAATGGTTGAGCGTTGACCCATGCACCAAGAGGTCACTGGTTCAATTCCAGGTCAGGGCACATGCCCAGGTTGTGGGGCAAATCCCCTGTGGGGAGCATGCAAGAGGCGGCCAATCAATGTTCTCTCTCATTGATTTTTCTATCTCTCCTTTTCTCTTCTTCTCTCTCTAAAATAACAAAATTAAAAAAAAATTTTTAATAAATAAATAAATAAAGGGTTCAGATATCTAAAAAAAAAAAAAAAACACAAAAGACAACTTCCACGGTCTCAGTGCAGATTAAGAGAATCAGAATTTCCAGGATTGGGGCACAGAAGCCAATATATTTCAAAACCTCTCCCAAATAATTCTGATTCATAGACTGGCCTAGGAATAATTAATCTATACTATCAAGCCTTAAATTAGTTATAAAATGCTTTGATTATATTTAAATAAACATTACCTATGTGTGCCTTTCAGATCTTTTCAGAGAAGAAAGTTTAATAAAAATAATTTTAACCATAACAATCATAATAGTAGCATGTTTATCTTAAGACGTCAAATTAAACATCAAATGTGCATGTCCTATGTTGAATTATACATATGAAGGCCTTAATTTTGAAACAAATAATTTAAAATCCAACAGTAATTTTTGACACGGATATGCAGAAGCATTTGTGAAAATAGTATATTGATATTACTATAGGGCATTGATTGCAAAGAAATTAATGCAGTGAAGTTTATTTAAAAACATGTTAACCTAAAGATAGCCTACTAACCTGCTTGTTGTTCTCCGCCATGGAGAGCTGCAATGCCAAGAGCATGGAGTCTGCACCACATACAGTGGTCCTCTCAGAGTCACAAAGGGTGTGCCAATTCCTTCTGAACTCTTTAATCATCTCCCAGACAGACCTCTGAGGAAGCACAGTCATCCTCTTAAAGTAGAACAGATGCAGTATTTTAATTAGAAATTAATATTTAACACGTATAAGCAAGCAAGAATTAGAGAAAAATAAGCAATGAACGTCATTTCATATTTATTAAGATTGCTTTTAATTAAATTTAGGAAAACAGAATATAACAATTCCTAACCAATCATAGTTTCCTCTCCTTTAGTTTTCTTAAGCCAAATCTTTTCAAGTAACAAAATGCAACCTTCAATCTGAAAATTCATACAAAACAAATATACTAATTCTGCAAACTATAATTATAGACACATAGCTAAGTAAAACTGTGTTCAAAAATATTTTTTTTTGCCCTGGCTGGTTTGGCTCAGCGGTTGGAGCATCAACCTGTGGACCAGAGAGTCCCGGGTTAGGTTCCCTCTAGGGACACGTACCAAAAAATAAATAAATATATATATATATATTTTTTTTTGAGTCCAGCCAGTGTGGCTCAGTGGTTGAGCATTGACCCATGCACCAAGAGTTCGCCAGTTTGATTCCTGGTCAGGACACATCCCCAGGTTGTAGGTCCAATCCCCAGTGGGGGACATGAAGGAGGTGGCCAATAGATGTTTTCTCTCATCAATGTTTCTACCTCTCTCTCCTTCTCACTTCCTCTCTCTAAAATCAATAAAGGAAAAAGAAAAAATATATATTTTTTTAGATAGAAGGTAATATCTATGGTAGACTGTGGAAGGGGAGGACAGTTTCCTCCCATCATTATATTGTCCCAAAAGAGATTGTCTATTTGTCCACCCCTTTGAATCTGAGTTGGCCTTGTGACTTGATTTGACCAACAGAATGTAGCAAGAATGGCATTGTGGGAGTTCCGAGCCTAGACCTCACAAGTCAGGTGCAGAAGGGAGTTAATACAGCAGGCCTGATTGCTCTCTTCTGTAAGTCCTGCTTATGAGGTTGGCCCTTGGCTGGCTTTTGGGAACTTCGATTTTAGGAGAGTTTCCAGTAAGAGTGGCTTGCTGTGCTTAAACTGTTTGTACAAACAGTATAGTTTATGCTGAACACATAGGTTCCCTCTGAGTTCAGAATTTTGGAACAAAGACAAGATGCCTGTGTGTTCTGCCCCCAGTAAAAACCCTGGGTACTAGGTCAGTGAAGAACTTCCCTGACAGACAGCATTTCATATGTGTTGTCACAACTTGTTATGAAGAATTAAGCCTGTCTTGTGTGACTCCCCTAAGGGCACTTTTGGAATTTTGTTCCTTGTCTCCCCTGGACTTTGCCCCACGCACTTCCTATCTTTGCTTATTTTGCTTAGCATCTTTTTGTTGTTACAAATTGTAGCCATGAGTATGACTATATGCTGAGTCTTCTGAACAAATCATCCAACTGGAAGGTGGTCTTGGGGGCCGTTGGACATAAAACCTTGAAGCTTTGCTCTTACTCTCTTGCCACTCTCAGGCGGCCGTATGAAGAGCTGGAGAAGCCTTATAAAGCAGAACAAGGTGCTTCCACTGACAACCAATATCAACTCACAGACATGTCAGTGAGGCTATCTCAAGGCTCTCTAGATCCAGTCAACCGGCCAGATTAACTGCAGCCACTAGTGTGATCCTAGGCAAGACCAGCGGAACTACATGGCTGAGTCCAGCCCAAACTGCTGATCCACAGAATCATAAGCAAATATGCTGTTCTAAGCCACTAAATTCTGGGGTGGTTTATTATATAGCAACAAATAACCATCACAATAGCTAATATGTAGGAGCTTTCTTAGTGCCAAATACTTTTTTAAAAGGTTAATATTTATAACCTCATTCAACCTTCACAAGAGACTTATGAAGGTCTGTTGTTATCCTCATTTTACATCTGAAGAAAGTGATGCCCCATGTCACTTAGCAAATGATCAAACAGACCTAAACCCCTCGATGCCTAACCCCATAAGCTGTCCTCTTAAATCACTGTATTACATAACTTCTCCTAATAAACAAAAGCCTTTCAGAATAATTGGCTTCAGGCAGCTAATTCCTTTCTCTGAGTTTACAGACATGCCTGCTGAAAGTCTTGTCTTCCTACTTTAAGTTCCCCAGTCTCCAACACATTCACATGCCATTATCTTATTTTGGGTATTTTACTGTACTCATCACATTTACTTAGGCTTTCTATGATCTTCTTCTTCTCGTTTTATGTGGCATAAACAAAATCCCAGTTGTTTACTATGTATCTTGGGTTTCTGTGATAAAGAAAATGAGCATATGCCATTTACAAAATAACAATTTAAAGACATAACCAGTGACACAACTTAAATTTACAGGTATAAGATTGTGAATTAAAGTATCTACTTAAATACAAATCCTAGTAAATAGCTAAGAATTATAGTCCTTTTCGCCCTGGCCGGTTTGGCTCAGCGGTTAGAGCGTTGGCCTGTGGTCCGGAGAGATCCGGGTTCGGTTCCCGCTAAGGGCACGTACCTCGGTTGCAGTTTGTCCCCGGCCCTGATTGGGTCGTGTGGGTGGCAACCACTCGATGTGTCGCTCTCACGTCGATGTTTCTCTCTCTCTCTCTCCCTCTCACTCTATCTGAACAAAATATCGAAAAATGCCCTCGGGTGAGGATAAAAAAAAAAGAAATATCACCCTCAGCCCTGGCCAGTTTGGCTCAGTGAATAGAGCATTGGCCCACAGACTAGAGTCGCAGGTTCAATTCCAGTCAATGGCACGTATCTCAGTTGCAATTCGATCCCTGGCCCTGATTGGGGTCATGCAGGAGGCAACCAATCAATGTGGCTCTATCACATCAATGTTTCCCTCTTTCTCTCTCTCCCTCACATTCTATCTGAGGTTAAATGGAAAAATATACTCAGGTGAGAATTAAAATAAAAAATAAAAATATCACCCTCATTTCTTATAAGAAATAAAAAAGAAAGAAGTAACAATTCTGTGATATGATCAGTTTGCCTGAAATTAATCTTTAGTAGTAAATTACTTACTAGTGTTATTTAAAGGTACTGAGTTCAGATTACTAAGAATGAAGACGAATCTGGAATTATACTCTTCTGAATACTGGCTTCACCACTTACTGGCTGTGAGATCTTTGCCAAGTTATGTTACCTCTCCCAGCCTCAGCTTCCTTGCACTGAAAAAGGAAAATAATAGCAATTACTATCATGGGGTTTTGTAAAAAGCAAGTAACATAAATTTAAGTTAAGCTTTTAGGACAGTGACTGGCACATATGAGTCAAGAATCTTGCTCTGGCCAGTTTGGCTTGGTGGTTACAGCGTCAATCCACAGACCAAAGAGTAGCGGGTTCGATTCTGGTCAAGAGCACATACCTTGAGCGTGGTTCAGTCCCCTGTCCTGGTCGGGGTCATGCAAGAGGCAACCAATCCATGATGTGTCTCTCACATCAATGTTTCTCTCTCTCTCTCTTCCTCCCTCCCACTCTATCTGAAGATAAATGAAAAAATACCCTTAGGTGAAGATTTAAAAAAAAAAGAGTCAAGAGTCTCATCTAGGGGCCAGCACACTTTTTGGAAAGGGCCAAATTGTAAATATTTGAGGAGTGCAAGCCATACACTCTCTGTCACAACTACTCAACTTGATCTTGCAGTGTGAAAATAGCCACAAACAATGCATAAACAAATGAACTTCAATAAAACTTAATAACTGAAATTTGAATTTCACATAATTTTCACACGTCACAAATATCCTTTTTTTAAATTTTTTCCCTAACCATTTAAATACATAAAATTCATTCTTAGTTTGGGAACTGGCTGCACAAAAACAGGCAATGCAGCGGGTTTGCCAACACAGATCTAGTCTCGACTTTCCCCATAGCTAGCTGTCTGTATAAGCCTAGGCAATACACTTTACACCTGACTGCCTAGGTAGTAATAGAAAACAGGAATAATAATACCTTCCAGCCAGTTGTGAGGAGTCATTGAGAACAAATATGCAAGCCCCCTGAATGTCAGGCTGCTCTATACAAAAACAGTAGTAGGTGGCGACAGGGATAATAAACACTTGTTTTTGAAAAACTGATTCCCAAATTGCACTGGAGCAAAAATTGTGAGACAGGAAACTGTCATTGGGGATGCAGTGTGAGATGACTGAAAGAACTACACTTCTGAGTCAAAGAGACCAGGGCCCACATCCAGACTCTTCCATTTATTAGCTGTATGACCTTGGCATTTAAAATCTCTGATGAGCATATATTTCTCCATCTGTAAAACGGGGAGGATATATCCTAACCCATAAAATTTTGAGACGTTGGAGCATCAAGTAAATAATCCACCTAATGCCAGGCACTCAGTAGGTGCTCAATAAAAAAATAAAAATAAAAATAAAGGCCGTCATTGCTGATATCGTTGTCAGAATACAAGTCCAAAAATTTCCTCGGGAGAATATAAGAGGGAGAGAGCGAATGCAGCAGAACTGAAATCTGAGCAGGTTCGGGGGCTAGAACTCTGGTTTCTCGCCTAACTAAGGAACCTAAGTGGTCCTCAACGGGCCTCAGCCTTCCAGCTCCACCCATCACCAGATACTGTGAACTCTGTTCAACACACCCAGGCCCGACCTGGCTCCAGAACGAAGCCACCGCACAAATACCTTTAAACGGTCACAGGGGCTTGAATCACTACTTAATATGGGACAGGTGGGTGCGCAAAAGGTGAGACTCACTTGTGTAGGGAAGACCCGGGAGGTGCAGCCTCCAGCGATGTGAGATCCTTCCCGGCTGCACGCCGTCTGCTGTTTAAATCGTCGCGGGTCACATTTTAAATCTCGCGGGAGGCCCTGAGAGCCAATCGTCGCTCCCGCCCTGTGACCCGGAAGCAGAATCGCGGCGAGCCGCCACAGCCCCGGTGGATGCCGGCTTCTCTCTGTCGATTGCCGGTGCCCTCTGGTGCGTATCACGGAGTCCAGGGGGCCTCGCCGCTTTGCTGCCAACCTACCCGCTCTCCCCGGGCGGTTCTCCACCCTCTTCCCTCCGAACTCGAGCTCGGGGAGGTGGTAGCGGGGTCTCGCGGGACCTGCCTGGGGCTGGGAGAGGCATCGGGGGTCTTAGCAGGAACTTCTCGTATTCCCTCCTTGCTGTACCCTTCCAGTTTCACAGGGGCAAGTCCAGCCCGCCGTGTGCTGGAGACCCCGAAAATGCAGTGAGACTGGGCACCACTTTAATGAGCAATAAGGGACCGAGTAACCGAACCGCGTATCTTCTGCACGTCCCACACCGGTGTGCCTCCGAGGGCGTCTCAAACAGCTGGTCACCTTAAAATAAATGTCCAACCCGGGTGCCCACTTGTAAGGTTACTAGTTGATGGGCTTCCTGAGGTGGGACTCATCTGATTCTCAGTAAATCCTCATCAGGTATTTGATGTGTTTGTTACGGAGCCCAACTGTTGGAAGGACCACTCCTGCCTCCAGTTAAAAAACCCAAAAAAACTCTGGAATCCATGTCTCAGTTGCGAATGCTAATTCCAGAGTGCATACCAGGCCACGACAGGTTAGTTGAAGTTTTATGCAGATTTTATGAATATTGTTTTCATATCACATTTGGTCACTCCTTCCAGATCCTCTATTTTATATCTGTTTCTATTATAGAACTTTTCACACTGAACCATTAACTGTCCCTGGATTGTGAGCTCCTTTGAGGGCCAGAGCGGTGTTCTTTAGCACTGGTGTCCAACATACAGTAATGTTTTCACATTCTGGCTGGTCTTAGGACCTTGGCAAAGCTAATTATTGCTCTAAAGTCTTGATTTCCTCATCAGTTAAGTGGGAACCATGGGTAGTTCCTCCCTGTAAGGTTTGTGAAAATATTTGATGCTATATATAATGTCAGTAAAATGCTTCACATTGCAACTGCAAAAAGTGCTCTGTAAAATTGTTAACTATCTTTAATTTTTAGAAATATATGAAAGTGATTTTCTCTTCAAGTACTCACTATATTTTTTAGATTATCTAAACAAAAGTATGGTGATTTATGCTGCAGGTATCATTCCCAAAGTATTTAAATAAGTACTTTAATCTTTTTTAATTGTGGCATTTGTGATACTGCATTCTTATTTTGATCATTTGCTGAAAGTGAGTAATATTTTGACCATTTCTATCTAAATGTGTCTGCTATAATTCACAGTTTGGTGACCTTGTTCAGTAGAAAGCTACTGTGTTTTTACAACTGTTCAAGCTTTGACATACAAGATGAAGCAAGATGCCACAAGGAATGCTGCCTACACTGTGGATTGCGAAGATTATGTGCATGTGGTCGAATTTAATCCCTTTGACAGTGGGGATTCAGGAAACCTACTTGCATATGGTGGCAATAATTATGTGGTCATTGGCACGTGTACATTTCAGGTTAGTGTATGAAACTACAGTGAAGATATTTCACTGGTAAGAAAGCTTATGCAAACGTTGGTAAGCTTTTGCTAAACTTTGAAACTATACTGAGTTTGAATTTAAAAAAAAAAAAAGAAAAGCTACAGAGATACAAGTAATTTATGCCGAAGATTTGTGCAAACATTAAATAGGGAAAAGGGAGAATATAAAGCTTCTCTTTTGCCTCATGATTAGAAATGAAATACCTTCCTAATTGCAGTTTATGACTAACTGGCCATTAGTATGTACAGGGAAAACAGTTAAATGAGATCTAATTGTTTAATGCAATTTTTTGACATTCCACTTTGAGATAGGAAACAAACTAATGTTGAGAGCCTAAAGATTGATCCTCCAGACGATTTTATAGCTGTCAGGATTTTCTGCTTTCCTATTAATATGCTCTCATACTTATTTTACATCTAGCGTATACAATATATGGGATCATATTAATTGCACAGGCAGTTTAGCATAGTCATTAAGACAATGAACTCAGGCCAAAATGCCTATGTTTTTATTCCTATCTGGCTTTACCTCTTAATAGCTATATGAACTTGAGCAGGTACTTAATCTCTCATCTATGAAAAGGATGAAAATAATACTTAATAGGGTTTTGTGAGAGTTTAATGAATTAGTATATGTAATGTTCCTGAAACACATCTGGCACATTTAATACATAAACGTTTTAACTGTCATTGATTTGGTCTCTGGTGACTTTCAGCACAGCCTCATATTTAATCACCAAATTTAAGATTACTTTGGCCCTGGCCGGTTTGGTTCAGCGGTTGGAGCGTCAGCCTGTGGTCCAGAGAGACCTGGGTTCGGTTCCCGCCCAGGGCACATACCTCGGTTACAGTTTGTGCCCAGCCCTGGTTGATCGTGTGGGTGGCAGCCACTCGATGTGTCTCTTTCACATCGATGTTTCTCTCTCTCTCTTCCTCTCTCTCCCTCCCACTCTATCTGAACAAAAAATGGAAAAATGTCCTCAGGTGAGGATAAAAAAAAAAAGATTACTTTGTATGAACACATAACATGTTTTCTCACAGGAAAACTATTTCTATGTATATAAAAGACTTTGAACGATGAAGGTTCAACTATCAGGAATCTCTGGTTAATCTTTTATTTACCAGAATATTATTCATAGAACACTATTTCTCAAATTAAGGTTAATTAATGAAGTAAACATAAATAGTATTTCCTCTTTTACACAGGAGGTAATTTTAGTATCTTACAATGTTTTGACATCATAAATGTAATTAAGCACTTTATAGTGCAATAAATGTATAAAGTTATACAAAATTAGACTGCATGCATATTTATCCTAAGGGGAAAGTATGAATTAAAAGCTTCAATTTGTTGGTTTCTGAACAGAATAAAGAGTTCTTACATTATTCTACATTTTCTCTTAAGATTGGCATGGGGATTTCTAGCTTTTAGGCTAAATGTGGCCCTCAGACTGACTTCAGTTGGACTACCAGATTAGGATCATAGAAAGTCAAATCATTAAGAGAAATAATTTAACACTCTTGGAAAAGACTGAGGTGAAACCATTTTTCTAATGCAGACTACTAATCTATACAAGAATAAAGCAGCTTCCTACAGATGAAACTAACTTTTTATTTTATTTTAAAATTGATAGATGTGTACATAAAATTGTATTAAAAATATTACATTTATTTCTAGTGTTATATTCAGCTAAGAAATATTGAAGAAGAAAGTCAAGAAGGGGAAAAAAATAGGAAAGAAGGAAAGGCAGAGGCAATGGGTGGCAGAGAGAAATGGAGCAAAAGAAGGAAAATGACAAAAAGAAAAAGAACCAGCAAAAACATTTGTATTGCTGTTTATGGTTTGTGATCATATGTATTGTCCCTGTTTATCCTCAGACCTGAGAGATTGGCAATATAGGTCTTATCCCCAAATTCCCTAAGGAAAGAATTGGATTTTTATTAATTTGGCAAGTAGTAAACACAAATTATATTCTGTGCCAAGTACTGGAAATATGGCCAGACAACTTGTACTGTCCTCATAGAGTTTCCAGTCCGCTTCAAAGAGGTTCAGGAATTTGTATGATTAGTAAGTAAAAAAACAAGATGTAGATCTCACTTTTTTTTTTTTTTGTACAGATAGAGTGGGAGGGAGAGAGAGGAAGAGAGAGAGAGAGAGAGAGAGAGAAACATCGACGTGAAAGAGACACATCGAGTGGCTGCCACCCGCACAGCCAACCAGGGCCGGGGACAAACTGCAACCGAGGTACATGCCCTTAGCAGTAACCGAACCCGGGTCTCTCCAGACCGCAGGCCAACGCTCTAACCGCTGAGAAAAACCGGCCAGGGCGTAGATCTCACTTTTGAACCCCTGTTTTTTTCTTTCTGTGCTGCTATTCAGATGGGTTCAGCCATGGTTCAATCAGTTATGGAGGAGAATTTCATTTCAATAATTTGTCCTTAGGAAATCAGAATAAGTTATTGCTTCCCTTTGCAGTTATGTTTTATCTAACTAAACATCACTAAACATTGTTCTTATTTCATCATGTTAAACCTTCAACTTCCATACCACCCAATTTTATGCCTCCCTCTCGTCTTGAGAGAAAACTAAGTTAAGGTAAATCAAATTGAAAAATTTCAACATTCCTATCAGAAAGGTAATCCTTATTTCAAGACTGGTGGAAAAACACTATCAACATAGAGAATCTGAATTTCAACAAAGCATTTATCAGGATCTCAAAGTGTTCTTTTGAAAGATGGAAATTTCAGTTGAATGATAGTATTGATTAGTGTCATGTATTTGTCAGATATTATTCATGAAGTGCAGATCGGGTGTCGGAATTAGTGGTGCATATGTTAAAAAAACAAGGACCCTGCCCGAAAGATGTTTAAATGTAAACCAGCGAAATAAGAAAACTTCTATAAAAGTTCTATGTGTAGAGAGGAGAGAGAGCATCAAAGTTTCTAAGTCTGTTTGGAGGTTCACCAGTAATGAGGTAAGGCCTCTACTGGGACTTGGATGAGAACACTTGATTTAAGCAAGAACATGAAGCTGAGAACATGAACCTAACGTTTTGGATGGCAGACTTCATTTAACATATTTTCTGTGCACATATTGTGTGTCAGACTCAGCTCAGAATCCAAATATTGTGTAATAGATTGAATTAATCGATCAAGTTGAACAAGCTAAAATTTATTAAAGATGAATATAAGGTCTTAAAATGCCAGATTGCTAGAGCTAAAAGGGAAAGTTGTGACTTTGGTTTTTAATCACCTGGATGGTCACCATGAATCATTGCAATGATTAAACTGCCAAAGAGAGCTAATTCAGTGCTGGCCAATAGAAATATATTGTGAGCCATAAATATAAATTTAAATGTTGTAGTAACCACATTATAGAAAGTGAAAACCAGTTGAAATTAATTTTTTACCTACCATATCCAAAATACTTTATGCATAACCAATATAAAAATTATTAATGAGATATTTTATATTCTTTTATACTTTTGAAATCTGGTATGGATTTTGCACTTTATAAACTGTACATGTCTCTGCTTGAACTAGCCATACATCAAGTGCTTAAAAGCCCCATGTGGCTAGTAGCTACCATATTAGACAGCATAGCTCTATATTCTCTATAAAGTGACAGTAATGTTTAATATGTTCTTCAGTTCTCAGCAGTGTATTCTGATTTAAAGAGGATAATGTACTTGGTTTCAGAATGATATTAAAATGTTTAAAACTGTCATATAAAAGAGGGATTAGACTCAGAATGGTAAATGTATTTTGTATTATTTGTCAATTCTGTTTGAGTGGAGTTGTTGCTTACAGTTCTTTAGGACAGATGCCAAAGCACCTTATTTGAGTCTGTTCCCCTAAGGGGGAATCAGCTATGGCCAGATATTTGCCATCACTGAATTAGACTTAACTCTGTGTGGTTCCAGAGAGCAGAATTTGGAGTCATGAGTAGAATTTACATGGAAAGAGATTTTAGTTAAATGTTAAAGAGAACTCTTGTAATAATTAGATCTACCCCAAATGGAATAAGCTCCCCAAGAAGTAGCTAGTTCCCTCTTACCATAAGTGTAATTTGTAGTTAATAACTTTGAATAAATTCAGAGAAGAGTTATAAAAATTTTTTTCAGGTGCTGTACTAGAGATTCACGCATTCAATGAAAGATGAGGACTAGGTAAACCTCACAGTCTCATCTAACTAAAATTCTGCATTTGGCCTTAAATGGGTGTAGTAGGAAGGCCTGCCCATTTCAGATCCTTAGAATAGCCCTTTCACCAACCTGGCTTTGCTCCAACCTCAAATATGCCAGAGCCTTGTATAATGATTTGTGTTATAGCAAGTTTTCCAAAGTATCTTAATTTCCTGCCTATACAATACTGCCTGCACCCAAAATAGCATTTGTCTCTGCCTATACCACACACACACACCCTGGCCTTTTCGTTGGCTCAGTGGCAAACATTGCTGCCAGGAAAAAAGGTTTCACTGGTAATACATAAAGCTTAGGCTGTACAGTCCCTGGGATTTCTTTATCCCCATGACCACCCATTAATTTCATATATACTTTGAATAACAAATTGCAGGACCTAATTGTCAACACTATTATTACAGTAGCAAAATAATGTCTGTTTTTATGGTTAAAAAAAAAAAAATCACTTCATTTTTAGAAGATTGATTTGTTGAGTGTAGAAAAATAGATGAAACCCAAACTATGAAGTCAGCTATGATTAAGCTTCTACCCTTATTTTAAAATTGCTTAGTGGTTGCTGCCTTGGTATACCTGGCTGTTAGCCATACAGTTATCATACATACAAATTATGAAGTAATAAAATTTGAGTGTTTTTCTTTCCTTGATAAATGCATTTTTGTTCTTTTTTCATTTATGGAAAAACATTTTGCTGCTAACTAAGTTCACCTGAAATGTAATTCATTTTCAAGGGATATCTGAATTATGTAGAGAAAGAGATGTATAATATATACATATATTTTTTTCTTTATTGATTTTAGAGAGAGAGAGAGGAAGGGAGAGGAGAGAGAGAGAGAGAGAGAGAAACATTGATTGACCGCCTCCTGTATGCTCCCCACTGGTGATTTGGCCCACAACCTGGGCATGTGCCCTGACCCGGAATCGAACCGGCGACCTCTTGGTATATGGGTCGACGCTCAACCACTGAGCCACACCAGCCTGGCTTTCCTTGATATTTTATAATTCGATAAACTTTTATAAATGATAACTATAGTTATTTAATACAAAAGATTCCTTGGGCATATTTGTCATGAAAAATTTTGCTTTTGTCTCTAGACCCAGTTAGGGTATTAATTTAAATAGCAAAACCATGGTTTATTTTTAAAATCACAATATTTTAAGCTTATAAAATGTATTTTAAAACATATGTTATCAATATAAGGTATAGAGAAGAGTAATAAAATAGATCCCTATGTACCTAGCTTAAGAAATGGAACATTAGCAATTCTTTTGAAGCCCCCTGGGTATTCTTCCCTTCCTGCCCTTCTCACCTCCAAGAAGTAACCATATCTGAATGTTTGTGTTGCTGATTCCTTGTTCTATATAGGATTACCATATGTGTAGAGGTTGCAAATCAATGTATTGCTTTTCATGTTTTAAACTTTATATCAATGCAATTATTCTATCTTATGTTCTCTAGTATGTTGCTATTGACATATTTGTTAGATTTCTCCATGTTCAATTTCACTTATTTTCACTGCTGTATAGTGTTTTACAATATAAATATACCACAGTTATCTATTTCTCTATTGGATATTTGGGTGACTTTTAGATTTTTACTATTATTTTTCTTCCTTTAATGCTTACCAAAGACACTTTAACACACATACTTAATTAAACAAAGTCAAAATTAATATCTTTAACTTCTTCATGAATAAATCAAGGACCTTTGACACATGGATTATTATCATCCCCTCCAAACTTCCGTTGTTGTCATATCATTTTTCTTTTTATTTTACCCCACAGATTTGATGTTGTTTTATGTGGCTAACATTTGTTTAATTTACCCACCTGTTTGTCTTTGCTTCTTTTTTGTTTTTACTCATTGTTTCTTACATCTGAGTCCTTCCTTCTGGGGTCATTTTTCTTCACTCTAAAGCACATCTTTTACTAATAGGAAAGAGTTTACGACTAAACTTTTTTTGTAAAGGACCACATAGTAAATACTTTAGGCCCTTCCAGTGACTTAAGGTATCCCTTTCAAATTATTCTTTGAAATAGAAAATATGAAAATGAACCTGGCCGGTGTGGCTCAGTGGTTGAGTGTAGACCCATGCATCAAGAGGTCGCTGGTTCAATTCCTGGTCAGAGCACATGCCCAGCTTGTGGGCCATATCTCCACTGGGGAGGAGGGGTGCATGAGGAGGTGGCCAATAGATGTTCCCGCTCGTTGATGTTTCTGTCTCTTTCCTTCTCCCTTCTTCTCTAAAATCAATTTAAAAAAAAATTTTTTTAACATGAAAGTGGTTCTTAACTGGTGGGCCGTACAAACCCAGGCCATAGGTCAGATTTGGCAGGCTGCTTTAGGATATCTTTAGTTAGAGTTTATTAATGCTAACTCTTAAATTTTTGTTTCTCTTTAGTACAGTTTTATTCTTGGAAAGGAAACAGTTTTGTGTGTCTAAAATGCTAGTTTTTTCTCTCATCATTTTGGAGATACTATTCCATTGTCTTCCTATGTTTCTGCTGAAAAGTTGATGGTCATTCTAATTTTTTTTGAAATCTCTTATAGGAAAGCCTGTCTTTTTTTCTGGCTACTGTTAAGAAGATATCTCTCTCACCTTCCCTTCCCCCCCTTTTCCTCCTTTTCCTCCTCCCTCTCACTCAGTCTTTCATTCCCCCTTTCCCTCCTCCTGCCTCTGCTGCTCCCCACCCTTCCTTCCTCCTCCCCTCTGCAAATAATACCATAGGAGTTTTTGTGTTTGTTCTAAAGTTTCACGATGTTTTATCTAGCAGCAGGGTTTTTTTCAGCTGCCTAGGATTTATTGCACTTACTGAATATGTATATTGGTGCATATCTTCAGTTGTGGAGAATCCTTTGCCATTCTCTCTTCAAATATTGTCTCTTCCCCCATTTCCTCTGTTTGCTCCTACAACCCAAATTAGATATATGGTGGAACTTTTTATTGAATCCCTCCTACCATCTTTTTGTCTTCTGTTTGCTATGTTCTGAGTAATTTTTTTCAAATCTGTCTTCTAGCTACTGTAAGCATTGACTTTTTTTTCCATGATAAAGTTTAGTTTTTTGTTGTTGTTTTTTTAATCTGCCTGGTCATTTTGTACAATCTCATGTTGATAACTCTTCTGTCTCCTTTAAAATGTATCATTTTTATCTAACTTTTTTTTTTTAATCCTCGCCCGAGGACATTTTTCGATATTTTGTTCAGATAGAGTGAGAGAGAGAGAGAGAGAGAGAGAGACATCGACGTGAAAGCGACACATCGAGTGGCTGCCACCCACACGACCCAACCAGGGCTGGGGACAAACTGCAACCAAGGTACGTGCCCTTAGGGGGAACCGAACCCGGGTCTCTCCGGACCGCAGGCCAATGCTCTAACCGCTGAGCCAAACCAGCCAGGGCTATCTGACTTTTTAATCTAATGTCCTTGCACATTCTATTCTTCTGTTTGTATTTGTATAGGAGTGCATGCATATAAGATCACATTTGCTTAAGTTGTATCTGTGGGAACTTACTGAGATCTGGGTAGAAGTAGATCACCCAGAAAGAATATGCCTTTCTCCAGTGTGTAGGGCCACTGCCCAACATATGACCATTTTAAAATCAATTGTCATTTCCTGGAACACATAGTTAATGTGAATTCAAGCCCCAAATTCATGTTAGGGCCAGCAAATGGCTGGGATTTCTCACAAGTGACTTTTTTTTCTCATTTGAGTTGTACCCGTGATAGGTATTTTACATGGCAGTTTTGGGTTTTGGGGTTTTTTTCCTACTTCCCCATTAAAGGTCCTAGATGTATGCAAAGGTCTCTGATCTGCAGGCATCTTAGCCAGTCATTGAGCTTTATCTTCTGTCAAACTATAGCTGTTAGTTATTGGATGTGGGCAGATGCCCTTAAGATAGTTACATACCTCGCCCTGGCCGGTTTGGCTCAGCGATTAGAGCGGCAACCTGCGGTCCACAGAGACCTGGGTTCGGTTCCCGCTAAGGGCATGTACCTTGGCTGCAGTTTGTCCCCGGCCCTGGTTGGGTCATGTGGGTGGTGGTCACTCAATGGGTCCCTTTCACATCAATGTTTCTCTCTCTCTCTCTTTCTCTCTCTCCCTCCTGCTCTATCTGAATAAAAAATGGGAAAAATGTCCTCGGGTGAGGATTAAAAAAAAAAGATAACTACATACCTCAATGCTTGGTGACTTCTCTGGATTTGTATTTTTGCATTAATTTTATACTGAGAAAGTTTTGCAGGTCATTGCCCTAATTCCCAGACATAGATTACTTGACTTTGGAAAATTCATTTTTTCCTTTATCTTCCCATGATAATAGACTGAAATCTTCTCAGTAATACTGAACCAGGTAAATAAGCTGACTTCATTAAACATCTTACCCAAAATCAAATATCCAGAGGAATAAATTAACACATTGTTACTTGCATATCCACTATCAATACACTAATAGTATTCTAGATGAACAGTTTGTAACATCTTACTCATGTGTTGCCATATATAATACTTTGTGAAAATCAGTGTTACTCATTATAATGACTTTGCATCATCATAAGGTTTCAGAGTATCTTGTACATAAAACTATGGTGTGTGTGTGTGTGTGTGTGTGTGTGTGTGTTTTATGTTGTTAGTTGCTAATCCTTGGTAATTCATTTACCTAGAATATTCTGATTCTTAGAGCATTCCATTTTCATAGTTGCTGTGAAGTATGTTTACTGTTAGTCATAAAACATCTCCTAAGTAATGTGACGAAGTATAACGTGTTTACTGTTTGTTTTTTGTTACCTTTGAGAGTTATTTTTGTGAGGCTTAGGCAGTTTTGGATATTTTTGTTGTTGTTCAGTGAACCAGTTAAAGCTCAATATCCAGTCGGTTCTTAAACTTTTCAGAAGACTATACAGCAGATCTTTGGACTGTGTCTTTTTTAGTTCAACATCATTTTGTTTTGTTTTTAAATTCCTTTTTTCTTTTTTGATTTTAGAGGTGGGGGGGAGAGAGACAGAGACAGAGAGAAACATTGATGAGCGAGAACATCAATTGACCGCCTTCTGCATTACTCCCACTGAGGTATCGGACCCACAACCTGGGCATGTGCTCTGACTGGGAATCAAACCAGCTACTTCTTGGTGCATGGGTCAGTGCTCAACCACTGAGCCACACCGGCCGTGCTCAGCGTCATTTGTTATAGCATTGATGAGACTAAAAAAAAAAAATAGATTCTGTGTGTAGTTTGCACATTCTCCCCAAATCTGTATGGGTTTATTCTGGGTACTCCAGTTTGTCCCAGTCTGAGTGAGTGTGATGTGTATTGAGTATGCCCTGGGATGGAAGGGCATCTGGTCCAGGGTGGGTTCCTGCCTTGTACCCTGTGCTGCTGGGAGATGCTCTAGCCACCCACAACCCTGAACTGGAATAGCAGGTTGAAAAATTATTTTCTTGTTAATCTTTCTTACATGAAAGTATAGCTCACATTTAGATGTTTAATATTAGAAATTGTTTAGGTCTTTATTTAGAAATTCGGTGGTATTTTTGTGACTAGGAATATGTCAGGAATTTAACTCGTTTATATCAAATAGCCTCTGATAAAATTGGTTTTGTTATATCTAATTTTGCTTAAAGTTGTCACTTTCAAGAACCTATCAATGACATTAAGTGAGGACTTAACTGTACATGGCCTCCTGGTAAATTCTTTTATTGTAATGAAATACAGAATATTATGTTGTTTGTTCTCATAACTTTTAACATTTGCTGTATGTGCTTAGGAGGACGAAGCAGATATTGGAGGACTTCAGTATAAAACACTGCAAACAATTCACCATGGAGTCAGGGTTGGTGGCATAGCTTGGAGCCCAGAGACTAGACTTGATTCATTGCCTGCAGTAATCAAGTAAGTTTAAAATTATTAAGTGCAGTGTTTATTAACGTCCTCTGTGTTAAGTGATCTGAAGCCTTTGATCATTAAGGACTTTTTCTCTCTGTTTCCATTTTTCTCCAACTCTAGATAGTGGATATTTTAACATTTTCTGTTATTTCAAAATTTAAGCTTATTGTCTTAATTTGTGGTTTAAATAATGCAGTCATGGCAGTGATGCCTTGAGCACATGTCTGGGCTTAACAACAAAGCTCTCTACCTGAGATTCCTCTGAATCATTTTAAGTCTTCCCAGATTCTTCACTGAATTTACCCACTGATTGAAAGTATAACTCTGTTAAAAGAATTAAATTAGAGTCATTAATCAACCTTTCTGCCCTATACATAAACCAAGGTCACATTTTTATGTTTAACAGTACATACAAGTAATCTAATCTTTGTGCTTCGGTTTTTGAGAAAGCATTTGAAAAGAATGATTGTTTTTTGAGAAACACCATAACGCTACCTGCTAAGACCTTCCTCACAAGGGCCATACTATGTCAGATCACTTAAGGTTTGTTACAAAATGCTAACCTAGCCCTGGGCCTTTTGGCTCAGGAGTTAGAGCATTGGCCTGCGGACCAGAGTCCCGGGTTCAGTTCCCACTAAGGGCGCCAACCTTGGTTGCAGTTTGTCCCTGGCCCCGGTTGGGGTTGTGTGGGTGGCAGCCAGTCAATGTGTCTCTCTCACATTGATGTTTCTCTCCCTCCCTCTCTCCCTCCCGCTCTATCTGAAGATAAATGCAAAAAATGTCCTCGGGTGAGGATAAAAAAAAAAAAAAAACAAAACACCTTGCTTCCACAAATACCATGTCTAAAAGATATGTCTTCTTTTAGTAAACAGTATTTAGCCCTCCACAAGTTAGCTTTTACTGAGCTAACCTAATTTTTTTAAGGTTTTTTAAATTGATTTTTAGAGAGAGAGAGGATGGGAAAGGGAAAAAGTGAGAGTGAAATACCAATCAGCTCCCGAACGGGGATGGAGCCTGCAACCTGGGCATGTGCCCTCACCGGGACTCAAACCAGCAACCTTCGGTGCATGTGATGACACCCACCCCGCTGAGCCTCACCAGCCAGGCCTGAGCTAACCTAACTTCTTTAAATTAAGGGATAATTCTCAACTCTTATGGGTACAGTTTCATCAGTGTTGAAAAATGCATACATTGTATAACCCCCTCACTGGTCATACTTAGCATTTCTATCAACGCAAAAGATTCTTTGGGCTCCTTCCCAGTCAGGTCCTGTGCTGCATCCCCTGCCAAAGCAACCATTGATGCCATTTCTATTACCAGAAATTAGTTTTGCCTATTTTAGAACTTTATGTAAATGAAACTATACAGAATATATCTTTTTGTGTCTGGCTTAATTTTGAGATTCATCCATGGTGTGTATGCCATTGGTTCATTTCTTTTTATTTTTGAGGAATATTCCATTACATTGTATAAATGTCCTGTAATTTATATACTCTCACCTAAATGGATGTCGGGCAGTTTGCAGTTTTTAGCTATTATGACTAAAGCTGCTATGAGCGTCTCTGTATACAGCTTTTAGTGGTGGGTATATGACTCCATTTCTCTTAGGAGTAGAGTTACTGAATTGAAGTGTAGATGTGTGTTTAACATTTTAAGAAAGTACCAGTTTCTATAATGATTCTACCATTTTATATTCCCACCAGTAATCTAAGGATGTTCAACACTGTCTACCTATTCTCCAGCATTTATTTTTAGCAATCTTTAATTTTAGCATTTTGGTGGTACCGCAATGACATTTCCTGGTGACTACTGGTGTTGAGCACTACTTGTGCATTCTATTTCCTACTTAAGGAATCTTCACCTACAACAAGATTATGAACATGCTCTCTGATTTGTTTACAGGTATTAGCTATCTGAATTTTAAATAATCGGCGCAACAGCTTTTATCAACATATATGTCATTGTTAATAGCCAGTGTGCTGTTCATTTCCTTTTGTAGTAAAAGGAAGTCTTCAGAGACTGGAGCTAAAGAAGAGGCAGTCAGTCAGCAGTCTTTGTATTCTCTAGCAGATTTTGAAAACTGGAGAACCCTCTTCTTCCCATGGTTTTACTTGGCACCTGTTTTCCTGTCCTCTTTTTAATGGATTTGCTGTATTGTTTCATCTTTTTTGTTGTTGTTGCTTTTTGATTAGCTGCTTCAAATCCATTTTGGAACTGTACCAATATAAATTATAAACTCAAAACATTAACCAGCCATTAATTTAAAAAACAATATTTTTAGAGCAAGCTGACGGCACAGTTTTGTTGTTTTCAAATCAATTAAATATTTTTATTATAAAAATAATATACACTTACTATATCAAGTTTATAATATACAGCAATTTTTTAAATGCCATATATACACCTAATATTTTTTATTTTATCTTTAGCATTTAGTTACCTTAAATTTTGTTCTCTCCCTCCCTCTCCTCTTTTCTCATACTCACTTGATGGAGAGTAAACTATTCACCTTATTTCAGTTCTCTGAGGTTTTCTGGTTTAATTAAAGAATGATATAAATGCCCTTAACATGTTTAAACTAAAGCAGCAGAGATTTAGAGAAAAGTGGAACAAGACATGTTGGCCATAAAGGTTTTGTGATTTGTTTATTTTTAATCTTAATAAAATTTTTTAATTAATTGTTTTTAAGTAAAGATATAAAGATACTTTGAGTCTTGTAACTCCTTTGTTCTCTTATGTTTTTACTGAAGTTGGCCTCATTTTATAGTAATACCTTTACAAACACTTTTGCTTGAGATATTTCTTTTAAAAACCTTCTGAAATAGCCTTAATCTGTTTTAGAGATGAGATTTTGAACAGATTTTTTTCAGTGACTTCTTTATGACATAACTATGAGAACATGGCTTTAGGAGAGAGCCTCACATTAGTGATGTTGTAGCAGATTTGTTCTAGAGTTTCCTCTGGAGAAGTAAGGAACACCCAAAACAGAAAAGGGACAAGTTCAAAAAAGGCCAATTAGGAAGAATAGGTTTTGTTCTTTAGTTTTTCTTACCTTTTATTTGTATGTATGAAATACAGCATACATGACCAAAAAAAGATATGTACAGGTGGGGCAAAAGTAGGTTTACAGTTGTTTGTATGGAAAATAATATTTTTAATAATAAAACAGGAATAAATTCTGTGTTACTTATACTCCCACCTGTAAACCTACTTTTGCCCCACCCTGTATATCACTGAGGTCCTACAGGTGCCCTCCCGTCACTGAAAAGAGGTGGTCACAGAGATGTATCAACACATCCAAGTCTATAGATCAGAAGCCTTGCTTTTATTTACTTTAAATGTTATTAAATAAATTTATTATTTGAGGGAAAAAATGCTTAACTTGAGTGTAGTGAGAACTAAAGAAATTTAGATCTGTTTGATACTCATTCAACTAAAACAATTAGAAATAAACTTTATTTTTCATTATATGAATAGAATTTTTATTTTGTCTCGACAAACTAGTTCAAAAAATAGTTACTGCTTAAATTTTGTTTTTTTAGTGTATTTGTACATTGGTGAATTGCTGAAAAGTATCTTAAAGTTTAGGGTCAGTACAAATAATACTCCAGTTTTTAGTGGATATAAATGTACCCGCTTTTACGAGTATAAAAAGATTGAACCTTTTCACTCTTTCATCTATTGAATTTATTTAGAGGAACAGAAAAAGTAAGAAGGCTTATATATAACTGAAGAAGCTGAGGTAGATGTGTAATGGTGTTTTTAATGTCTAATATTGACCTAGCTAAAATGAAGATACTTTTAAAATCACATCTTTTACACTTTTAATAAAAAGTTAAATTGACATGGTGATTTATAATAAAATTATGCACTTTCGTTTTTGAAGAGACAAATCCAGAATATACTAGTTTGTGTGTGTGTGTGTGTGTAAGTACCTTCTGCTTTTAGGAATGGCTCTGTAACATTGTTTATGACAGAGTCACAACATGTTCCTTATGCCCAAAAGAAAGCATAAGGTATGAAAATAGCTTTGGCGATGGGAGGGGATTAGGAAGGTATAGGAAAACTTTCATTTACAGAAGCTAAAAGTATGTTTGTCTTTATTTTTTTTGCTTCCAGATTTTGTACTTCAGGTGCTGATATGAAAATTAGATTGTTTACTTCAGATCTTCAGGATAAAAACGAATATAAGGTATGCTTGACAAGTATAATTTCTAAATGTATAGCTTATTTTAAAACATTTATTATTTCTTGCTTTTTTGATTGGGTTTATCCTAATTTAAGATGACTTTTTATGGTCATCTTTCAAATATGTAATTTAGGGTTTCATATACTGTATTTTACACTCTAGTATCTAGGTTCATAGTAAGGACTACAGATTCATAATCTGATATTACTTTTTAATAAATTAAAATGTTAGGTTGGCACAGTAAATGAGGGAGAATTAGAAATTCATAGTTGGTATAGGAGTAGACATGAACACACATAGATTATGAGTTGAACTTCAAGGAAACAAATGGCCAGTATAGCTTAGTGCAAGGCAGGATTACGAATTGATTAAGAGTGCAGATACAGGGTCAAACCACCGGAGTTTGAAGCCCAACTTTGGTCACCTTCCCAGTCTCTTTGTGCTCGTTTCCTTATCTGTAAAATGGGGATAATCATAATACCTACCTCACAGAATTATGGGCTAATTTGTATAAAACACTTAGAACAATGCTTTGAATGTAGTATGCCCTGTGTTTGTGTTTTCTATTTGTATAAAAAATACTTCTGTAAAATAAGTCAGACAAATACAGTTGACCCTTGAACAATATGGGTTTGAACTGCATGGGTCCACTTCTAGGTAGATTTTTTTTTCAATAAACACCTGTTCTGTTTTGATTCACAGTTGGGAGTGCACTAATGTGGGGAGCCAACTGTATGCATTGGTCTACACCATTTTATATAGAGAACTTGAGCATCCTCAAAGTTCTTGTATCCACAGGGTGTCCTGGAACCAATCCCCACCAGATACTGAGGGTAGTTAAGTTTTGGGGTAGTCAAAAGTTAGACACAGATTTTTGACTGATCAGGGGGTTAGCACTCCTAACCTCCACATAGTGCAAGGGTGAACTATACTGTATGATCTCACTTATATGTGGAATTTTAAAAAGCTGAACTCAGAAACAGAGAGTAGAATGGTGGTTATCGGGCTGGGGAGTAGGGGAAATGGGGACATGGTGGTCAAAGGGTACAAACTTCAAATCATAAGATGAGCAAGTTCTAGGAGCTAATGTATTTTATGTGAGTATAGTTAACAGTTCTATATTGTATACTGGAAAGTTGTTAAGAGTAGAACTTAAATGTTCTTACCACCAAACAAAAGTGGGCCCTGGCCAGTGTGGCTTAGTTGGTTGGAACATTGTCCTGTGCACTGAAGGATCATGGGTTCGATTCCCAGTTGGGGCACATATGTGAGGCAGCCAATCAATGTTTCTCTCTCACATCGATGTTTCTCTCTCCCTCTCTCTCTTTCTCTCTCTCTCTCTCTCTCTCTCTCTCTTTCTCTTCCTTCCTTTCTTTCTAGAATCAATGAAAAATATAGCCCCTGATGAGGATAAAAAAAATGTGAGGGTAATAATGTGAGGTGATGGAAGTATTAATTCATGTATGGTGATAATCATTCTGTAATATATAGGTGTATCTTAATACTTACACAGTGTTATATGTCAGTAATATCTCAAAAAAGCTGGAAAAAATAATTAGCTGTAGGTTTGGGTTAAAAATTACATTGTGTTTTTTATAAGAACATTATTGTCTTCTTGACTATAATCAAAAACATGAATAATGTTATAAAACAAAGAGAAACTATGAACCTTTTCTATCATTTAGAAAATAGTAAAAAGAAAAAAATGCTCTGAGCTACATATAATGGACTACATACAGTTGTACAGTTAATGTAAGGCTATACCAGTGATAGCCAAGTGTACCAATAGCACATAAAATTTTGACCCATCAAAAGTTAATGTGCACCCTGCCTAGGCAGCTCAGTTGGTTGGAGCATCGTCCTGTACACTGGAAGGTTGTGGGTTTCATTCCCGGTCAGGGCATATACATAGGTTGCAGGTTCAATTCCTGGTGGGGGCTTGTACAGGAGGCAGTCAGTCTCTCTTTCTCTCTCTCTCTCTCCCCCCCCTCCCTCCCCCTTCCTCCCTCTTTCCCTCAAAATCATATCCTCAGGTGAGGATTAAAAAGAGAGTGTGCTAGGGTTAATAAACATTAAATATTTAATATTAATTTAGTTTGTCTTATAGACTGTGGCATGAACTTTGAAGAATGTTTGGAGGTGCTGAGTTCAAGTTACACAGGAATGTTTAAATCAAAAATTTGTTTCTCATGATGTATTTCTAAATAGTAGCAGTTCCAAATAGAAGCACTCTATTTATCTTAAAACTGAGATCAAATTTGAGTTTTCCGAAGCAAGAACAATATTCATTAAAATATTTAAATATCTGATATTTGACAGGCCTGTTTAGGATTTCAGTTATAAAGATTTAAACTAATTGGACCATGCCGGCTCACATAGTCCTCGACCTTGCACCTTCCCCTTTGTTTCTTCTGTGGCCAGAAGCAGAATTGTGGGTTGTGATTGCGGGATGATAATACTAGCTATCCCCGGCGCTGGCAGTCACATTGAAGAACAAATGAATGAAGACCTTAGCAAGTGAAGTTCACACTATGTGTTTATTAGGCAGCAGCAAGTATGCAGAGCAGTAGGGATGAGGTAAGTAATTGAGAAGGACTCTATCTCAGTGCCCCTAGAAAGTTCTAGATTTATGTAATAACTGAGAAAGGAGGTGATATGAGGACAGGTACAGTAAAAAAAAAAAAAGTCTGTGTTTTTGTAAGAAATGCATACTAGAAAAGAAAGATCAAGCTAATAGCAGTGTGCTGAATAATCAGCTTCTTTCCAAGATAAACCTTCCAGAAAAGTGGATGTATAAATCATGCTTTAAAAATAGCAGATTGCTTAAGAAATATTTATGGAAAAGAGAAGCATGCAGTGAAAGCTTTTAAGGCAGTGAAATAAAAATATTAGTTGTGAATATTGTAGATTTTTTTCCTGTGTTCTTATTAATTTTTCCCCTTTATGTCAGGTTTTAGAGGGCCATTCAGATTTCATTAATGATTTGGTGTTTGACCCCAAAGAAGGCCAAGGAATTGCAAGTGTGAGTGATGATCATACCTGCAGGTATGTTGCTTATGGTACAAGCACATCTTTAAATTTTTGTTTTATTTTCATAAGAATTACATTTTAAAAATTAGAGAAACTGTAACTTCAAAGATGCTCCACAAACTGATACTTCATTTAAATTGTGAGTAGGACACAATGTGAGTTTCAAAACTGGTGATTTAAGTTTTCTTTTCAGTTTGGAAACTTCTCTTGCTGATTCATTGGTGCCTCTCTGACTTTTATTTTATATTTGAACATTTATGAAATCTAAATATATATCGGGTCAAATTCTCCAACATTGGACAAGGTCAGTAGGATAATAAAGGACAGTTGCCATATTGTGAAGTTATTTCGTAGATCCTGTCTGGTAAGTTAGTGTTTAGTAATGAATTGCAAATTTCATTTGCTATGGGGAGAAGGGTGTCATTGGGGAAAAAAAGGAGAAACATCTGTAACAAAAATAAATAAATAAATAATTTTTAAAAATTTCATTTGCTAAAGCAAGACTCATGGGAAATTCGTATTTTGACAAATTTGAAAGTCTCTATATAAGGTTTTCTGTATATATCATACATTTCAGTATCACCTTATTCTACCCTACCCCCAGTTTGGAACTGATGAGGTAGCTATAACATTTTTTTTTTTTTTTTTTTTTTTATCCTCACCTGAGGATATTTTTCTATTTTTTGTTCAGGTAGAGTGGGAGGGGGAGAGAGGAAGAGAGAGAGAAACATCGATGTGAAAGGGACACATCGAGTGGCTGCCACCCACACGACCAACCAGGGCCGGGGACAAACTGCAACCGAGGTACATGCCCTTAGCGGGAACCGAACCCGGGTCTCTCGGGACCGCAGGCCGACGCTCTAACCGCTGAGCCAAACCGGCCAGGGTGCTATAACATTTTAATAGTGCCTGAATTTGGAGACTATTACAAGTAAAAAACAAGAGGAAGAGCCAGAGTAGGAGGTAGAAATACGCTGTGGAGTCAGGAGCAAAAGGAGTGAATCAGTCATTATAGAAGTGCCAATTGCTTCATTTCTTTCAACAGTACTGGGAGAAAATGAGAAAAAAACAAAACACTGCGCTGCTATTTTGCATAATTTTAATGTTTATAAGGCTATGACAAAATCATTAGTATTCATAAACACTTGTACACATAACAAAACTATTAAATATGGGTCCTTTCACACTGGAAGGAAAACCACAAACTACTTTTAAAATTTTAATCTTCGTAATAGCTCATCTTGTTAAAGTTATAGAGTCATAGACCATTATTCTTTATGTACCGCCTGTTAAATTTTTATGCCAGGGACATGAAAGATTTACATGACATTAAGATTCTAGGGCCCCAACTATTACAAAACCAAGTTATATATAGATCTGAAGAGTAAATGGGACCATTTTTAAGATAAAAGTTAGATTAGATCACTAGAAGTAAATGACATTTTAGTTCTCTACAACATGGACTTTCCTAATCATGCACATTTGCAGTAATGATACCTGAGAAGGGGAAAAGTGAGTGTCTTTGCAAGCCAAGGAATAGCTTCTGAATAGTGAATAAGAGCCAGGCAGACCTGGGATCACATTCAGTGGTCTGTGATTATTATTTCTTTTTCCTATAGTAGGCCTGGATTTTTGTAGACTAGTAAAATTGTCCTAAAATTTTGGGGGACTAACTCAGGGTTTCCAACTTTTTATTTTGTTGAGTAATAAGAATTTTAAAAGTTCCACTGCCTTCTATTACCATAATTTTATGAAAGAAAGAACATTATTACTTTCAAAAGGACAAAGGGCTTAGCTTCAAAGTGAAGTTAAGCTTAATAAATTTAACTTTTTATAAAACTCACTATGTTGTCCCTAAGTGTCTTATTTTGCTAGACTGTGGTTTATGGTGTTATTGTTCATCAAATAGTTGCTCTCAAGGAGATTTTCCCATTCTGTTGCCCATATGACTTTGTTTAGTCCAATTTAATATTAGCAGGTCTGACACAGCAGACATTTTAAATGTTTAATTTGGTTTGTCTTGACCTACTGCCCTCTGTCTTTGTTATAAGATGAGCATGTCCTAAATAGCTGCTGGCCCTAGAAGAGAAACCCACAGAGCAGATATGGACCCCTCTGGTATTATGAAGTAAAGCTTCCCACAGACCCATGAGCAAGGAATGTATGCTTGTTTTTGTAAATCACTGAGATTTGGGGATTGATAACATCATTTTATCAGTAGATGGGGATGGGAATGTAGAATTCATAGGCTTAGTTTGCCAGCTAGAAGTAAAGGACAGTTCTGATTGGCTAAAGTCAAATTTCTTGGGCCAAAAGGTAAGCAGTATAGATAAGATTTTTAAAAGAAACAGAAGATACAAGTAAGTCAAGAAACCTAAGTAAGGAAGAAAAGTAAGTATCATATACTTTCACAGTAACAAAGGAAAGAAAGAATTCTGAGGGAATGAACTATAATAGAAAAAATGTTTCAGTACAACTGTCTTCATTAACTCAAAGTATAGAATTGCCAAGTTGCAAGTAAAGACATCAGCCAAATGGCAAATATGCAATTTGGGCAGAGAAAATTGCCATTTTCATCTCAGGAAGCATTCCTATCACTCTGCTCAAATAATGCCCTATGTTCTGTGTGTTAGTGGTGAAATCCTTATTCGGTCATAGCCAAAGTCTGTGTCATCTTGGAAGTAGTTTTAGATGCAAGTGATACAATGCTTAACAAAGACATGCTAAATAGAATAACTAGACTGAAGGTCAGTAAGGAAGTAGTGGATTTGAACAACATTATAAACCAACTATGTACAAACATGTACAGTAGCAGACATGTACAAACAGCAGAATACACATGTTTCTCAGTGCACATGGAACATTCTCCAGAATAAACCATATGTTAGGCCTCAACAGAAATCTAAATAAATTTTAAAAGATGAAATTATAGAAAGCATCTTCTTTGACCACAGTGGAATGAACAAGAAATCAAGAGAAATAGAAAATCTATGAATATATGAAAACTAAACATCACACTCTTAAGCAGCCAGGGGGTCAAAGAAGAAACCACAAGGGAAATTAGAAAATACTTTGAGGGGATGGAAAATCAAAATGCAATATGCAAAGTATCTGATGCTACAAAAGCAGTGCTCAAAGGAAGTTATAACTGTAAATGTCTACATTGAAAAAGAAGAAAGAACTCAAGTCAGCCTCAGTTTACACCTTAAAGAGCTAGAAAAAGAACAAAGGAAACCCAGAGCTAGAGAAAGAAGGAAAAAATAAAGAAGTAGAAAACATAACAAAAATAAAGAATAGAAAATAGAAGAGAGAATCAATGACATTAAAAATTGGTTCTTAGGAAAAATATAACAAAATTGACAAACCTTTAGCTACACAAAAAAAGAGAGAACATTCCAACTAGTAAAATCAGAAAAAGGGAGGCAATTACTACCAACCTTACAGAAATAAAAAGGCTAGTAAGAGAATACTGTGAAGTTATATGTCAACAAATTAGATAACCTAGATCAGGTGGACAAATTCCCAGAAATAACAAACCTCAAGAAAAAAATTTTTTAAATGTGAATAGACTGATAACAAATAAAGAGGTTGAATCAGTAATCAAAAACTTCCTAACAAAGAAAACCTAGGACAAGATGCTTCATTGGTGAAATCTGTCAGACATTTCAAGAAGTAAACACCAATCTCTTAAATGCTTCCAGAAAATAGAAGAGGAGGAAATATTTTCTAACTCAGTCTATAAGACCAGCATTACCCTGATACTAAAGATAGGGACATTACAAGAAAAGAAGATTGCAGACCAATATCCCTTGCAAATATAGACTCAAAATTTTTCAACAACATCTAGCTAGATAACTCTTAGAAGAAAACGGGAAAATCTTTCTGACCTTGCATTTAGCAATGGCTTTATAGATAAGACACCAAAAGCGTATATAACAGAAACAACAAAGGATAAGTTGGACTTCATCAAAATTTAAAACTTCTGGACGTATGTCAAGGGTCTTACATCCAAAATACGAAATAACTCTTATAATTCAGCAGTAAAGACAACCCAATTAAGAAATGGGCAAAGGGCTTAATAGACAGTTCTCCAAAGGAGAGATTTAAAAAGCAAACAAGCACATGAAAAAGTGCTGAGTGTCATTAGGGAAATGCAAATCAAGAGCACAATGAGCCCTGGCCAGCGTGACTCAGTGGATAGAGTGTAGGCCGCACACGGAAGGGTTTGATTCCCGGTCAAGAGCATGTACCTGGGTTGCAGGTTCAATCTCAGCCCTGATTGGGGCACCTTTGGGAGCTACCAATCAATGTGTGTCTCTCACATGGATGTTTTCTCTCCCTCTTTCTCTGCCTCCCCCTTCCTTCCACTCTCTCTAAAAGTCAATGGGAAAATATCCTCAGGTGAGGATTAACCAAAAAAAAAAGTACAATTTGCTCTAGCCAGTGTGGCTCAGTTAGTTGGAGCATAGTCCATGTACCTAAAAGTTGCCGATTCTCTTCCCAGTCAGGGCCTGTACCTAGGTTGAGGGTTTGAGCCCCAGTCGGGGCATGTGTGGGATGTTTCTCACATCGAAGTCGCTTTCTCTCTCCCTCTTCTTTCCTCTCTCTAAAATTAATTTTTTTAAAAGCACAATGAGATACCACTTCACACTAGATAACTAAATAATATATAAATAAATATTTTTTAAAGCAGAAAATAAGTGTTGGCGCAAGAATGTAGAAATTGGAACCCCTTCGATTTGACTGGTGGGATTGTAAAATGGTGCAGCCACTGTGGTGAACAGTTTGGCAGTTCCTCAAGAAGTTAAGCGTGTGACCCAGCAATTCTGCTCCTGGGTACAGGTATATGCCCAAAAGAATTTAAAACAGATGTTCAAACAGAAACTTGTGAAGGAATGTTCCTAGCAGTACTATCAATAGCCAAAAGGTAGAAAGAAACAACCCAAATGTCCATCAATGAATAAATGGATAAACAAAATTTGGTATGTCATTGAAATATTATTTTCTTATAAAAA